TAAGTGACTTACACGACTAAAAGAAGCATTTTCATGAAGTGGATAAAAGTTGTTCACAATTTGATACTGATCCGAGCCTGGCACACTCATCTGAAATGCATTTGTGTGCAGTGCTGAGTAAATATTACTTAGTTGCACAAGAAACATAACTAGTTGACCACCAAATGATGATGCCTTGTACGCCGTCACGAGTTGATTGAAACTGTCCATGAGAGCCTTCGCTTGGACATCGAATGATGCACTTGATAAAAGTTGAGCGTTCACCCACATAGTACCAGGAAACGAACTTAGAATATTATTCACTGTTATCTCCGTAAATGAACAGTGCATTGAAAATAGTCGAAAGACAGCTGTAGCAATTAGACGAAAGTCAAGTGGAGTGATGTTGGTTGTTTCTGCGTTGTACAATGAACTGATCCATTTGTCTGATATTAATTCACTGGAACATATCTGTTGAGAAAAGAAAACAAGTTATTCACTCTATAGTATGATTAGACTTTGAATTTCGTAAATTATCGAAGTTCTCCGATCGTCTGTGTAACCAGATTAAATAGTTTTATTTTACTAGAAATGATAATTTAGCATTTCATTAACTACAATTATAGTACATACACGTAAGTCTTAGTATTCATTAATATCAATCCTAATTTGATTGCATTATCATGTGTGATTAGTATATGAACTAGGAATGACTTGTGAAATCATTACAGAACTACCACTTTATGTTAGAATTTTCTTAAATATTGAGAGAGAAATTATTAGATGGCTAAGATCAATAACATTAATTCATACGAGTATTAACATTCTTTTATTACTAGTAACATTCGTCTCGTACAACTCCATGATTCTCTATCCATAGGTTTCACTATCTTAGCTTCATCTAAACGAATGACATTATTTGAGAAATGTTAGTGTTGAAGTTCGAATTTTTCCAATGTTTTCGTTTATTGAAATTGCTATTAATGTTAATATATTAAATTCGGTTTTAGAGCCGACACTTGTTGGAACTAACTAGAATAGATCTTGAAAAGAACATTTACAATTGCGTTATTGAATCTTGAGAAAATAATTCCAAAGCAATTATTGATTGCAACTATCATAACTTCAGTAATTCCAGTTTGTTTGAGTTCATCTTCATCAAAATAAATAAATGTATCTATATTTCTCAATAGTATTTGTAATTATCCATTGTCCTAGTGTCTTCTTTTCATTAAGATAAAACTATTTATTTACAGTGTGTTATAGTAGCGGATAAAGTTTTTTTTGACCTATCGCCATTTTTAACTAATACTAAAATTCTTACCGGATGGTATATTGCTTGAAATGACAAAAAAGTGAAGTATGGAATTGTTATCAATTGACATGGGCAGGATAATGTATCCGAATAGGCAGTTTCGAGACGATTATACATGTCAATTGATGGATTTTGTACTCTGATGGAGACAGTTTTTCTGCTCAAAGAAGTAAAGAGCACAAGGATGAATATACATGTAATCAAGAGAATCAAATAGACCCGTGTTTTCAGAAGTTGATTGCGTAATGTCCGATGATTACTTTCATTCTGCTTATTTGGCTCAATAAATAGATTGAGCTGAGATAGTTTTTGAAATAAATTTCGAATGGCTTCCATTGATCTAGTCAAGAAATAGAAATAATTTTTACAAGTAATTAGATGAAAATTTTTTGACTTACTAACTGTTGTGAATTGTTTGTTGAGAATAACGCTGTTTTATATAAAACTCACAAGTACCTCAATTTTGACGAATCAAAAAAAAGTAGAAAAAAACATGATAATTCAACTACGTATCTAATACAACGTTCATTTCAATCGACTGAGGTTATTTTTGGCTCCTAGAGAACCATCTAATTAGTTCCTTTATTTTACGTTTCAGTTATCATCATTATCAAGAAATTTAAAAAAATGTTTCTTTCATGAGAAACAACATTCTCAAAGAATATTGAATACAACATATATTAACTACGCAATATGAGACAGAAAATTCATAAATGGCTATAAAAGATAGCATTTAAGAGCTGAACTACGTAGAAAAAGCAATGTCTGCTCATTCATCAGAATAGATAACAAAAAGTCAGTTCAACCTAAAGAACTTTGTTTTGTGTAGATAACCAGATGACTGAAAGATCAAACGGGAATCTTTGTTCATTTCGCTATGTTTAGTGTATACACACTCACCCTCAGCTTTTTATTTCGTCTTTTTTCTAAACTTTTTCTAAAATCGGTAGAATGTAGTGTGATATGAATATCTCAGCGATTTTCGCCACTATCACAAGCGCAATAGAAAAATATAAGATAGTTGGCAAGATGAAATTACTTTTTTTTTATCAGTAACAATAATGCTAAATTTAACTAGCTATTTTTTTCTAAAGAGCAATTTCCTGAAAGATGCTGAGTGTGATGACGATAAAAAAACGACGATGCGACAAGGCGTAATAATTTTTCATCATACTACAACAAAGAAAATTTCCTTCCTACTCTATTCCCTAGATTGAAGGGGAGGGGGTTGGGCATATGAAATAAAATGCGTTTTCATATTTGCAGGCACGTGTGCGGTCACGCGTCCGCATCTATAGATGTAATTCATAACGTTTGATGACAGGTTATCAGTGTCACAGAATCCAAACCGTAGTCGGTTTTTTGAAATTTTGAGTTTGATTTTTTTTCATCAAAGAAAGGCTTTTTTTACGAAAAAGATAATTTTTTATGAAGTGTAATCTAAGGTAATCGGGGTCGAGGAATCCGAATCTGTAATTGGTTTTTCGAAAGGATACCATTGGATAAGATCATAAATCTGCCACCCTCTGAGTTACAATTTCAATAGAGTAGAAAGATAGAGTATGAAATTCTACACATTTTTATTTATTTATTTATTTATTTATTTATTTTGTTGGGAGAAAAAAAAAATTTTCGAAGAACTAAATAGTCTTAGGAGTCTACCAGTTTTGGGTGTTTTGAATAATAACTATGGAAGCCATAATTTTTTCTTCTGTAAACTTAATATGAAAACTAATAATGTGGATTGACGTGGTTTTTCATGCTCTACAAAATGGCGTATTAATTATGTTTATCTTTAACTTCTCTCTTAGATTATGTAGGATGACATGGGTACGATCTTTACATTGAATCGTTGTTGAGAAAGATTTGCCAGAGTAAACGGCATACTTGAGAAAACTGATTTTGGGTAAAACGACAAAAAGTTTTTAGTTTATTCCTGTTTCACCTGACCTCCTGAAAAAACTGGCCAGAAAAAGAAACTAAACTTCTTCTTTTGACAAAAAGAAAATTATGGCAGCTTAAAGCTAATTACAAGAACTATCAGAACATGTATAAACCTCGAAAAATTGACTTTTCTAAAGGAAGAGGTCTCCTTCTCATATTTAGATTACCTAACACGACGATAATAGTCTTTCTATCGTGTTGTTTCTATCCGAACAGACGAAGATTTGAGAGAACGCGTTTAAACACTCAAAATAGAATCGTGACTAAACTCCATTCATCCTGATTAAAAAAATGTATAAAAAGCAAGAAATGCCGAAAAATTGTGTGTCGGTATGCGAGTGAGCGGGTGAAAAGAAGATACACCTACACTTACACCCTACATCCGATCACCTACACCTCGCCACCCACACCTATCCGCACCCAAACCCTACTTTTCCATGTAATTTTGTTTCATTCTATCCAACAGAATTTACGGTTTCGACACAAAAATTATGTTATAGTTATTTTCATTTTATATTTGTATTCATTCATTAATTTTACCACTTTTATCAGACATTTCTAAGAAACATTCTGTTATTAATGGACAACCAACATCATCACATGATATTCTGCAGTGTAGTATCATTGACAGATCTGTTGTAGCTTCAACATCAAATTTTGACAGATGATTCAGGTAGATTAATTTTTAGTGTTGAGCGAACTGGTTCTCGTGATTGACTGTCAGAACATGCAAAATATATATCTGTATTAAATAATAATCTTCATGTGATAAATCTTCTTGTATAAATTGATATATTCAGCCGATGTATGAAGAAAATTAAAAAGATACCTGATTTTACATAAGTTAATTCAGCCCAAATGAGTCTCGATTGTTGTCAAGTCTTCGAAAAAAAAGCATCCTGTTAAAGTTGTACTACAATCATTGAATTCTATGAAACAATTTTTGTTGCTAATGGTTCATTTGGTTTGTCTGGAATATATATGGGCTTTGAGCAATCTTTAGATCAAATCTTATTAATTCTGCTAATATCACAATACAATTCGACGCCAGTAACCAAAATGGTATGTAAAATAACCATATATCAACACAAAAAAAATCTGAAATTGAGCTAATTAAAGCATTGAAAACGCGTATGTCAGATATGTCAAGTCTTCAAGAAGGCTTTGGAGTATGATAGAACAGTCAAAAATCTTTTTTGTTAATATCATTCAGTACTTTTATTTCCATTTTCAACGAGCTATGGGAAAACAACTTGATATCATTTGTCTTCGACAAACAAAAGAATTCAACTTACACATTATTTCGATTTGAAAAGTATATATATATAAGTTTCAAAAGAGAAGAAAAAGGATCTTTAAAAAAAATAATACTCTTTCAGCATAGTATAATTAATTCTGTCGGTTTTACTTGTCCTAATTTATGAGTAACTTTAATATGAAAATAAAATTCTTTTTCTTATTTTCAATGTCGAATACTATTATTTGTTATCAATACGTTGCTTAAAAGTGACATATTTTCTAAATTTTTACGATCATCATATTAGGAAGTTTCTCATTTTGATGCACAATTACAAATGAATTTGCTAATGCTTAGTTCAACTATTCTTAACCATTTAGCCATATTCAATGGATGCAGATGCATCATTTCTTTACCATCATACGAATATCGCGCAATCTCAATAGTGTTTATTTATTCTCGAAGATTAAATAATATTTAAGAGTTTCAAGATTAAAATAATTTGAAAAAGAGATATGTCATTTTTTAGTCATTTGCACGATCAATACCGATGAGTATACGTTGAATGAACATATCCCATGATGGATCGATCAATTCTAGTTGTTTGCAATAAATGCCATTACGTTGACTTGTTCGTTGATAGAATTCAATTGCCTTGTTGATTTGTTCGTTCATGTTAGCCGGAAAATATTGACAAAGATGAACCTAAATGAGATAGAGAGACGAGACAAGAAAATAAAACTATCTGTAATGAATCGATTTACTTTGATTTGTTCAATGTTAAATGAAACTTGAAATGTAATCTGTTGTGATATTTGTATTTGAAGGACGGACCACATAAGAATGACACCCGTACCAATCATACGAAGAAGTTCATTGCGTATGTTCAAAGCTAATAAAAAATAAAGTTCAAGTCTCTATACGTTAACAGTAAATTATTCTATGTCTCACCCAATGAATTAAAACCTTGTTCGCGTAAATAATTTTCAAGACCATTGAATGTATCAAGATTGATATGAAGTACATCAGCTAAATCTTTATTCAATGTAAATGAACCATCCTGTATTCGAATCGAATACAAAACAACAAATATGTAATAAAGATTAAATATAATACTACCTCAGCTTGAAGTTTGATAAGATCTTCAATCATTGTTTTTGTAGATTGAACATCTTTCATTTTGCTCAGAAGTGGAACATCAGTCATTTGACCTAAATTCATATACAAGTGCAGCGTACCTGGTTAATGACGATAAGAGACAAATTACCCAATGTCGACACAAATTCACCGGAAAATTTTTGTAGTACAGTTTCAGTTGGACCATCAAGCTGACAAAAGACAACAAATAAACTATCAAATACTGTGAAGAGATCATATATAATACAAACCATGTATAGAGGATCACCGGGTTTGCGATCATGAACTAGAAAATAACACTAATTAAACATCAACTTTTCTTTTAATACTAACCAGATATGGCTGCGAAATTTGCATCACTTTCTACATATGTAACATGTCGCTCAATTTCATCTTTTGTCAAATCTAGATAAATTTCAATCGTATTTAATGATGATAATAAACATCTGAACAAATTATCATACTTTTCTGACGATTAGGTCCGATAGTAAATGAAGCTTTGGAACCTGAACGTGTTTCTTCAGCATCAACACGAAGTATACCGTTGGCATCGATATCCATACGAATAGCAATTTCAAGCGTCTGAGCACCAAAATTACTTGATAGACCACTAAGACTGAACTCGCCCAAAAGTATCTACAATAGAGAAGACACTCGAATAAATTCGATGTATTTATGACACTACGCACATTGTATTCAACGAGACTATGTTCGCCTTCAAATATACGAATGGTAGCTGCAGTTTGATAAGCATAAGCATTTGTGAATACTGGAAATAGTTGAGTTCTTGTTGGAATCGTTGTATTACGACGAATAAATGTATGCATGTGATCGTGAATGTCTCCGATGCCCAGACCAAGTGGACAGACATCGAGAAGCAGTAGATCGTGGATAGATGTATCGGATGTTGGAATATGTTTCGCAATTCCTTGACTACTAAATTTTGATTTTATTCTCATTTTAAATATACTATCGATAGAGAACGACGATTAATGATTAATCGCCGCATATCTCTATGAACTCTTTTAAAACTTACCTTTTTAATATTATTTCACTGCTATGAGGATAGGATTGTAGGCTAAACAGTTTATCGTCATTGTCAAAAGATTGCTCCTAGAAATGAATCAAATTTTGGAAAAGGAAAATTTGCATTTAAGCACATGTACTTGGACAGATTTTACCGATGGTTTTATTCGACTTACTTTTTTCCTATGCACCATGTCATATCGCATATCTTGAGCTCTAGAGGAGAAGTTCGAATCGATTGTTATTGTGTCATTTAGAGTATCAACGTTTGAGCTCTGTCTTTGTGTCTTAACAAGAGATAGGCGACCATGTTTATCACCATGTGGCAGGATTTGTAAACGTGTTTCTATGTTCATAGCTCATCAATCGAAACAATCGAGATATTAATGTAATTCTAACTTACCATTCAATGATTCCAATTGTGATGGTAGTGGAGACTGCATAGAGCAACTACTTCTGTTGGAAGATGCAGATGATGCCTTCCGTGTCGGCAATTTTGTTGTTGGGTATGAAATTTGTGATGATACTGGCGAACGAGAAGAACAAGTCTCCCCATCAGAAATATCAGCATTAGTGTCAAAAAGCAAATTATCGGATGATGATATTAATTTGATATCTACAATGAACATCATTTTAGGACGTGATACATCTAATTTGTACGACTAATAATGAACAAAAATGTACACCATGTAATAATAGCCAAAATGTTTACCACTATTCTTTCGAGATTGAATGTCCAAGGGACAAATTTTCCCTAGAGTAGCAGCTCAGAAACATATTTACGATTAGACAGTGAAAATACAGGCAGATGAGCCAGTTATGAAATCATGATGCTAGCTATTGTCACTCGAATCGGATATCCATCCTTTTGAGTTTTCGATAAGTTTTAGAGCGTATTCTGACAACACTATAGGATTTGGAAAGTGAATTTTTTATTGTAGTTCCAACAGAAAGAAAACTTTAGTGATTATTGCTCAACTTTCTGACTAACCGAGAAATTTAACTCAATTTGCTAGATTGTTTTCAATATTCAACTGAAATCTCAAACTAACAACATAACTTATCAACAAATTAATCTATACAATATCGAAAATGATACTCTAATAAACTTGAAACTAAGTAAAATAAGAAAAATGTATGTGCGCTTCGCTTTTAGTCATTGACGATGAAAATGATCTCGAAATTCTAAGGGTAAGCAGGCGTGTTTGACAAAAACTAAATGTGTTTGTAATACTATTTTCGTCGACGGCTTCGGACTATGCTTTACTTCTCATCAAGACAATAAACTGAAAGAAAGCTATGTAATATGTTCAAAGGTAAGTCGACTTTAATACACATTTAGAAGTAATATAGATAGAGAGAGATATCAATTTAAGTCTTACCTTCACCTGTGGTACTACTCATGGCAGGAGCTTGCTCGAATTGGTGACATAGCAATGATGATGTTTTTGTTGAAAGAGGAGACAGAAGAAGAGAAGGGGCAGCAGCAGGTGCAGCTCCAAAACCTATAAAGTTCGATTTTGCGGATTATGAAAAATAAATATGATTCTATGTGCGACCCACCAGGTGCAAATGATGATGCAGCAGCAAATAAATCACCCGCATTGTCGATTTTGTTATCGAAACTAAAGTCTAACAAAGAACAAAAGTGATATTCTATGAGTAGTAGAATCGACTGACCCAATGGAATGCTTTGTAAAGAGCCGCTCTGGACCATTATTGGTATATCGCTGGTGTTACTCTCAGATGCAAATGCCGGTACTGGTAGAGGTTGATCTGCTGTTTGTTGTTGTTGTTGTTGTGATGATGGTGATGGAGGCAGAGCCGATCGAACTAACCAAAGGGAGTAAGAGTAAATATGGACACATATGTCTACATTTAAATCGATGATTCAGTTAATAAACGCACTACTTTGCTTAAGGTTCAATTTTCAATGTCAGTGACCTAGTAGTAATGGATTCGAACATCGCAAATACAATAAATCTTTTCTTGTCAGCAGTCTGCTCTCGAAAACATATTGTATAATGATTCAAAAAGTGGGAGGGCAAAATAACTGAGTAGAGTTTGCGTTATGTACAGTATTCAACAATCAAATTTTAGATCTCTCAATAATTATTATACTCTTTATAAAAGTCCAAAATATTTTCTTTGAACAACGTTAAAATTTGATAGTGAGTTGTGAGATATTTTATCAAAATTATAATCCTCACAGAGTTCAATTAATGCCTACAAAGAAAATATGTGAAATAGATTCTGGTATTTAATGTTTAAAATAGCTCGGACAACATAAGATTAAGCATGTTGGACAGCAAATAAATATATTTATACAATACTTAACATCTTACCTTTGGCCGCTGCACGCCTGCGGCTATTGACGACAGGACGTCGTACAATAGTTTCAGGTATTTGTGCCGTTTGTGACAATGTCGATGATGACGTCATATCTATCGCTAATGGATCAAATGGTGTCTCAAGAGAACAGATCGATGACTAAATGATATGAAATTTAGAAAATACAAATATTAGCATAATAGTGTCAGATTTGACTTCTTGTTGAATCAATTCTTTTTGTGGAATTGGTGGTGGTATAGGTACGGATTCTATAACGATTATAATGAAATGAATGTGATATTAATAGTGATTTTACTTGTCACCTCACTTTGTTTCACTTCTTCTAGTTTGTTATAAACAATACATTGCTTGGCTTGTGAAGGAGACATCAGTCCGCCTTTATCCTTGTTTCGAAGAGAATCTAAACCATCTTGGAAACTACCACGAGCATCACTGCTATAGTTATCGCTTACGCAAGCCTCTTCATATGTTTTTAATGACTTTGCTTTTAGTTTATCCGTTATCGATGGCAAAAC